TGAAACTGAGATATAATATCTACTTACAAGTGAAACTAAGGCTGAATGTATAGTAGAAGTGAAATTAAGGCTGAATGTATAGTAGAAGTTAAATTAAGGCTGAATGTATAGTAGAAGTTAAATTAAGGCTGAATGTATAGTAGAAGTTAAATTAAGGCTGAATGTATAGTAGAAGTTAAATTAAGGCTGAATGTCTAGTGGAAGTGAAATTAAGGCTGAATGTATAGTAGAAGTTAAATTAAGGCTGAATGTATAGTAGAAGTTAAATTAAGGCTGAATGTATAGTAGAAGTTAAATTAAGGCTGAATGTATAGTAGAAGGGAAATTAAGGCTGAATGTCTAGTAGAAGTGAAATTAAGGCTGAATGTATAGTAGAAGGGAAACTGACATGTAATAGTTAGTTACAAGTGAAACTAACAGACGAGTGATGATTGAGGATTTATTTAAATATCAAGAAGCCATAGTTGAAAAGCATGTTAAATTATAATAGTTATAAGACATTAGTTGCTTTGTACATGTTATTATTCTGTATTCTTAGATGCATTATTTAAGTAAATAAAAATTATTTAGAATACTAGTACCAACAGTATTAAACAAAAAAAAGGCTTAAATTTCGTTGGCAATCGACAGCCAAAAAAATGAGGTGAAAGGTAAGTATTATATTTCTTGTTTTTCTTATATTTTTTTTAGTTATTGTTATGAAAGCAAGTAAAATGTAAATTTATTATGTTAGATAAGGTTACATTAAATATTTAAGAATAATGATAATCATTCTCTATGAGATATTCTTGCGAGTTGCTCGTCTGTTACATCATTCTATACATTAACTTGAGCTATGCATTTGCTGAGTGATTTACGACTTGTGTGGTGGGATTATTAGTTAGACATGGTTCAAAGGGTAATAAAACAGAATTAAGTAGAAACATATGTAAACTGTTATGAACCTTAAATTACTTAGGATAAATATATAATGTAGTTTCATGTTATAATTTTTGGTCATTCTAGAAAGAAACAAAAAAAAGTAACTTTTATGGTAGTTACAAGATTGGTCAAATCCACAGAGTTTGTGTAGAATTAGGTTAGAGTTATAGAAAGTGACAGATAAAATATAAAGTTTTACTGAAAAAAAGTTTGATATTTCTTTAGGAGGATTTATAGTGTACACAGATCAAAGAAAGTATTTTTAACATGAAAATTACTGTGCACTCGGAACACTCAACACTTTATATATATATATATATTCATGAACAAATCTTTAGTATAAATATGTAACTCAAAAATTTTACTTTTTGCATACAAAGACTTGTAATGTTTACTGAAAGCTTGCCAAATTTTGTTAAGATACACAAAACATATTAAACGTTATAGTATGGAAACTCTGCTAGCTACTTTGGGGTTACATGGTTGGTACAATGATGTGCACTTCGACCCAGCTGTTGATACAGGGTTAAGGTCAACTGAGAACCATGTAAAAACATATCAAACGTTATAGTATGGAAACTCTGCTAGCTACTTTGGGGTTACATGGTTGGTGCAATGACATGCACTTTGACCCAGCTGTTGATACAGGGTTAAGGTCAACTGAGAACCATGTAAAAACATATTAAACGTTATAGTATGGAAACTCTGCTAGCTACTTTGGGGTTACATGGTTGGTGCAATGATGTGCACTTTGACCCAGCTGTTGATACAGGGTTAAGGTCAACTGAGAACCATGTAAAAACATATTAAAAGTTAAGGAAATTAAGCAACACTTTTTTTTTTATACTGTAACTGCTGTAAATAAACTAAAATAATTAGGATAAAAATCTTTTAAATTATTTAGTGTGTGATTTGTCGTTACACAACTCATATCATAAGTTCTCCGTTCAAAATGTGTAGATTCAAGAAGAATTAATGCACCCAAGTAAAGGATGTATAAACTGCCAGAATATGTTGTAAAAATCTATGTATATTACATGAAAAAACCAATAATTTATACAAACAAAAGATTGCCAGGTAGTTGAAATGGATTACCAGTAATTTTCAATCACCAGCCTGTGCATTTATTATTACTATTATCAATTGCTTTTTACTCTTTATTTATGGAATGAGCTTGTTTTTTTGCATGCTGTTAGATTTTGTGTCAGTAATAGCTTAAATACCTCTTATGTAAGTGTTGCTGTAGCTTTGTTAAATTGTATATTATGTGTTATACATACATACTTCATAATTATCACTTTCTGATGTGTGTTCTATTAGGCATTGCTGAGATTCAGTATTTGTAAAATAAATTATTTCTGTTAAAAGAATTAATGTTTTGGGGCAAGATAAATATAGACACATTAACTAATCTTTTTGTGACAATTTCTCTAATTTGTCAGAAATACATATTTGGGATAAAATCTGAACTTTGAATATGTCTATATGAACAAGAAAAGTATCTATATAACTCACAGATATCTTGTGGTTGATTTAATTGTAATAGAAGGCACAGATATCTTGTGGTTGACTTACTTCTAATAGAAGTCACAGACATCTTGTGGTTGATTTAATTCTAATAGAAGTCACAAATATCTTGTGATTGATTTAATTCTAATAGAAGTCACAGATATCTTGTGGTTGATTTAATTCTAATAGAAGTCACAAATATCTTGTGATTGATTTAATTCTAATAGAAGTCACAGATATCTTGTGGTTGATTTAATTCTAATAGAAGTCACAGATATCTTGTGGTTGCTTTAATTCTAATAGAACTCACAGATATCTTGTGGTTGCTTTAATTCTAATAGAAGTCACAGATATCTTGTGGTTACTTTACTTCTAATAGAACTCACAGATATCTTGTGGTTACATTAATTCTAATAGAAGTTAAATATCTTGTGGTTACATTAATTCTAATAGAAGTCACAAATATCTTGTGGTTACTTTAATTCTAATAGAACTCACAGATATCTTGTGGTTGATTTAATTCTAATAGAAGTCACAGATATCTTGTGGTTGATTTAATTCTAATAGAAGTCACATATCTTGTGGTTACATTAATTCTAATAGAACTTACAGATATCTTGTGATTGCTTTAATTCTAATAGAAGTCACAAGTATCTTGTGGTTACTTTAATTCTAATAGAAGTCACAAATATCTTGTGGTTACTTTAATTCTAATAGAAGTCACAAATATCTTGTGGTTACATTAATTCTAATATAACTCACAAATATCTTGTGGTTACATTAATTCTAATAGAAGTCACAAATATCTTGTGGTTGCTTTAATTCTAATAGAAGTCACAGATATCTTGTGGTTAATTTAATTCTAATAGAATTCACATATATCTTGTGGTTGCTTTAATTCTAATAGAAGTCACAGATATCTTGTGGTTACATTAATTCAAATAGAACTCACATATCTTGTGGTTGCTTTAATTGTAATAGAACTCACAGATATCTTGTGGTTGATTTAATTCTAATAGAAGTCACAGATATCTTGTGGTTGATTTAATTCTAATAGAAGTCACAAATATCTTGTGGTTACATTAATTCTAATAGAAGTCACAGATATCTTGTGGTTGCTTTAATTCTAATAGAACTCACAGATATCTTGTGGTTACTTTAATTCTAATAGAACTCACAGATATCTTGTGGTTACTTTAATTCTAATAGAAGTCACAAATATCTTGTGGTTACTTTAATTCTAGATATAAAATGTGTTTTATTGGATAGATTTTGACAAATGAACAATATTTTTATATTAGGGGAAAAATTAATGTTTTGAGATTTATTTACAGTACAGGGTGTCCCAGAAGTTTGGACTCATAGAGAAAATAAACATTCTTAAAGTTCAAGAAACACATTTCTAATGTCAGTTGTACATATTTCAAGAAATAAAATACCCTGATGTCACAGTATATCAAGAATTGATATGTATATGGCTGTTAATGGCATGCAATTTGATTAATAAATAAACTAAGAATAAATTGTGTATTTTTCCCTATGGATCCAGACTTCTTGAACACCTTGTATATTTGAATTTGTAATCAAACCTCACAAAAAATAATTAATTTTTATTGATACAATTTCTCTTTAGTATAGAACTTTCACATTGGTTCTGCTGTAAAAAATAAACATTTGTTTTATTTTTTAGCTCTGAAACATTCCCCGTTGAAACATAAAGGACCATCAGTAAGACAGACACGGCTGTCATCTAGGGACCTAGAACCCTTTAAAGCCGAATCAGGAATTGTGTCCAAATTTGGGTTATCTTCATCTGGGAGAGGTTAGTCTTGTAGCAAGAGATAAAAAGACATGTATTGGGTCTGGCAATATGAAGTTTTTACGGAATCTTGTAGCATCTGTATCAGTTTTATTGTTTTCTACTTGATCTTAAGAAAAGTTCACAAAATTTGAAGTTTACATACTTATTAGTTTTGATACTTGTTTGTGAATACTTAACAGTTTTTATGCTAGTTTCTATGAGGACTTACTAGTTTGATTACAAGTTTATGTGAATACTTAACAATTTTTATACTAGTTTCTATGAGGACTTACTAGTTTGATTACAACTTTATGTGAATACTTAACAGTTTTTATGCTAGTTTCTATGAAGACTTACTAGTTTGGTTACAAGTTTATGTGAATACTTAAAAGTTTTTATACTAGTTTATGTGAACATATCACTTGATGTACAGTATTGGGTACACTATTTATAATAAACAACCAAAAGATGTCCTCACTTGATGTACAGTATTGGGTTATTATAAGGAGTGAAAAGTGAGGACACTTCTTGGTTGTTTATTATAAGGAGTGAACCAAATACTTTACATCAAGTGAGGACACTTCTTGGTCGATTATTATAAGGAGTGAACCCAATACTTTACATCAAGTGAGGACACTTCTTGGTCGATTATTATAAGGAGTGAACCCAATACTTTACATTAAGTGAGGACACTTCTTGGTGAATGTAAAGTATTGGGTTCACTCCTTATAATAATTGACCAAGAAGTGTCCTCACTTGATGTAAAGTATTGGGTTCATAACTACTTATAATAATTAACCAAGAAAGGTTGTTACTAGATGTACAATATTGGGTTCATAACTACTTATAATAATTAACCAAGAAAGGTTGTTACTAGATGTACAATATTGGGTTCATAACTACTTATAATAATCAACCAAGAAAGGTTGTTACTAGATGTACAATATTGGGTTCATAACTACTTATAATGATTAACCAAGAAAGGTTGTTACTAGATGTACAATATTGGGTTCATAACTACTTATAATAATTAACCAAGAAAGGTTGTTACTAGATGTACAGTATTTGGTTCATAACTACTTATAATAATTAACCAAGAAAGGTTGTTACTAGATGTACAATATTGGGTTCATAACTACTTATAATGATTAACCAAGAAAGGTTGTTACTAGATGTACAATATTGGGTTCATAACTACTTATAATAATTAACCAAGCAAGGTTGTTACTTGATGTATGGAGTTTAATTTTTTATAACATTAACTCTCTTGCTATGGGGCTTAATCAATTCAACCTAAAAATTGACCCCAAGTTGACTTATAGTTTCCATACCATATCTTCTAATATGTTTTTTATGTCCTCATGATATTTTGCAATCTTTCAATAAGCATGAAGTCATTGGTTGACAAAAAAGAATTAGAATGTTTAATTAGGTATTTTCACTAAAAATGTCTCCATGAACATATGGAAAGTGATTTTGATTTGAAGATTAAAAATCCTTTTGTTCATCTGAAAAGCTCAAATTTCACATGCTTAATCTAAAGCATCCTAAATAAATTTCAAACATTTGTTTTTCAGTAAAACTATTTTATTTTTTATTTTCTCTACCCTACCTCGTAACATCGATAAGAAATTCCAAATAAATCTTTCTAGAATGAATTCAAATTCTAACATGAAACTACATTAGTTTGTTCTAACTAGCTTAATTCATAATGGTATACATTTGTTTATGCTTAAATTTTACTGTTTTTTTGCTCTTTGGAATGAGTGTAACTAATATTCCTACCATAAGATTTGTAAAACACATAGCTAATGTGGAGCTCACATTACCCTATTGAATTACATAATGCACGGGCTACTTGCAAGTTGCTTGCGACTATATCTCTTGAAAAATTATTATTATTATTATTATTATTTATTTTATGTAATGTAACTTGAAAAGTTTTAAGTTTTACATTGTAGTTACTTTTATAATAAATAAGAAAGAATATCTGTTAAAAAGGAGAAAGTACTCACCTGGGTTTTTTTTTTGCTCTTTACTGTCAGTGAAAGTTAACCTTACTTTTTTATACTAATTGTACTACTGCAGTAAATGATTTTTTTGTTTAATTAACTAATGCACCAAAGAACACAGAATAATAACATGTAAAAAGCAGACAATGTCCTATAACTATCACAGTTTTTCTGACTTTCTTACTGTTCAACAAGAGCCAACTTTAGATAAGCTCTTCGAAGTGTTTCATGTGGGGAATAAGGTTTTGACTGGAAGTGAAATGGATAATTTTTTGTGCAGGAAACAATGTATTATAACACACTATTTGATAGATTAAAACTTTAGCTTTCTATTGGTTATAAATAATATAGTATTAAAAGTAAGAGAGAACTGTTGACAAATCCTGAAAGAGAGGATGTGACAGGTGGGTGTGGGCAAGAGGAGTCTGATGTTCTATTTTATGGCTTGGTAACCAGATAAAATTGAATGCTATAAAAATAATGCTTTGCATGAATGATGACAACATTATAATGAGTAATTAAGTTAATTTTTTTACTCCTTGGAGGGGTGGTAAATAAATTAGAGAAGAGGAGAAGCCAAGAGAGTAAATGTCATAATTTTCATACTCGGGGAAATTCAGGATTTTTTTTTAATATTGCCTTAATGAATTAAGAATCTATATAATGTTAAGATTTGGATAATTTGCTATGTTTTTATGCCAAGTTTATTTGTATACCATGAAAAGAAAGTAGTCTAATTAAAACTGACATGAGCAGAAAAGGATGCACATAGTAAGAAGGTTAAACCAGATAACATCCTCATGAGGTGTATTGTAACACTTGTATTAATTTATTTATACAGTGTTCAGATATGTTATAGTTCTGTTATTGTCACATTGGGTTCAGTAAAGAAGTTCATAGTCGATGAAATTTTTAAACTATATGTAGAAGTTTATGGAAGTAGGTGTTGATTAATTATGAAAATATCTTCTCCATTAAAGATAACTAAGTATGTGTAGAAGTTTATGGAAGTAGGTGTTGATTAATTATGAAAATATCTTTTCCATTAAAGATAACTAAGTATGTGTAGAAGTTTATGGAAGTAGGTGTTGATTAATTACGAAAATATCTTCTCTATTAAAGATAACTTGTGAATTATCATTTTCCCTCTGATGAAGAAAGGTTTGTTTTTTGAGTTATAATATTTCTTTTTTGTCTTTCATTGAGTTTTTGAACCTATTTGTTTTCTTAACATATTATGAATTATTTATTTCAACATATTTTTACAGAACTGGCTAGTGATGTTTCCTGTACGGGTCCAGGGGTTGAGTCAGTTGTAGCATCCGATTTTCCAAAGATCAGATCAAATACAGATCCGGTACCTAATTCTCGGAGGAACATACTCCAAGTGAAACCAAGTATTTCCAAGACTATCTCTTCAACTCTTCATAAAAGTGATGTTGTTAGGTATTGTTCGTAAACTTCAGATCTTTTATCCATCAAATAACGGGTTCATCTAAGTTATTATGAAATAGTTGCTAGTATTCAATAAACTGGATTTTCTTCACTCTTAGTAACAAGTAGGGTTAAAGGTTACTGTTAAGTTCAGCTGTTATTATAGTTATCAGCTTGCTTGTTTCTTCATCTTCTCTACATTGTAAGATAAAATAAAGGTGTTACTGTTGAGTTCAGCTGTTATTATAGTTATCAGCTTGCTTGTTTCTTCATCTTCTCTACATTGTAAGATAAAATAAAGGTGTTACTGTTGAGTTCAGCTGTTATTATAGTTATCAGCTTGCTTGTTTCTTCATCTTCTCTACATTGTAAGATAAAATAAAGGTGTTACTGTTGAGTTCAGCTGTTATTATAGTTATCAGCTTGCTTGTTTCTTCATCTTCTCTACATTGTAAGATAAAAAAAATGGTGTTACTGTTAAGTTCAGCTCTTATTATAGTTATCAGCTTGCTTGTTTCTTCATCTTCTCTACATTGTAAGATAAAAAAAATGGTGTTACTGTTAAGTTCAGCTGTTATTATAGTTATAAGCTTGCTTGTTTTTTCATCTTCTCTACATTGTAAGATAAAAAAAATGGTTTACTGTTAAGTTCAGCTGTTATTATAGTTATCAGCTTGCTTGTTTTTTCATCTTCTCTACATTGTAAGTTAAAATAAAGGTGTTTTGTTAGAATGTATTTTGTCTTGTTATTCAAGCATGTTTTTAATTGTGAAGTTATAAATAAAGTAACAGAAATATATTCAAAACAATTACTCAGTGTTATGAAGAAGGAATAATTTAAAAATGGTGTTAAGCTTGTGTTAAGGAAATATATTGATAGTCGGAATTTTCCAAAAACAAATGTTTAATTGATAGAGAAACTATTACTTTGCAAGGAAACAAATTATCAAATATTTTTTCTGTAGTGTGTCTCAAGTGACAATCCACACAGAGTCATTGGGAAGCGGTCTGTCAGAAACTAGTAGTTCCACCATATCTGGCCTTGGTTCAACAATTAAAACAGTAAGCTGGACACCACCCCACAGTGTTGAAGGTTCAACACCAACACACACAGAAGGTACGCCCTCATTCACCGAGTCCAGTTCTAGTGGAGATATAGGTAGGTATTCTTGTGTCATTTCCTGTACCAGTGTCTTCAGTCCTCTGCATGAGTCTATTACTAATTTGGTTCTTTCACCAACTTTCAAGTCGGACAAACCCCCTTGGTAGCTTTTCAACCATAGTAACAAAAGCTGTTTACATCTTCATAAACCGGTGCTGACCATGGTTCTTTGATGTTGACTTAAACTCGTTACATTGCTGAATGTGGTTGGTAGCAGTCAGTGTTGTTAGTGTTAACCTACATTATTTACTATTAGGCTAATGGTTAAAACCTTGTTAGAGGGTTATATGTTTCTCAAAGATTTAGATATATAAAATCTATACAGGCGATTAATACATGAATGTTTCGGAACATACATATCCCAACTTGAACAAAGTAAAATAGAAGAATTGTAACATCCTAACATTTTATAAGAGGAATTAAAATACAAAGTAAAGGAATCAAATCAAAAGTTTAGGATAGGTGTACGGTACAAACATAAATATTACAATTTTTTTCAGAATTCTATATGGTATTCAGGACAAACTTAAAACTGAAATGAAGTTATTATTTAGAGTTGAGAGAGGCGTAATTATAAATGAATTCTGTAATGATTCTTTTATGAACAAATGGTGATTTAGGTGGAATGATAAGGCTCTATTTAGTAACCTGTTTCAAATGATTTTCAATGTGAACTACAAATTAACTGCTACATAAAAATGTCTACTTGACTTAAGCCTTTGTGACCCCTTTTTATGCACTGGCTACATTTTATTTTATTTTTTTACTGTAGAGCATGTACTCTGTTTCAAGTGATGAGAATCAGTTAGGAAGCTATTTTTTTCATACACTATTTTGATATTTCTTAACTGTGTGCAAGGATACATCTTATACCACATTCTATCCATTGTTGGTTTTCCTGTATGACATGTATGTTTACATTTTGTTTTTGTGTCAAATAAGAAATATTATGAAACGTTAAACTGTTTGTGTATCTATAATATATATTCTGATATTCACAAAGTGTGCTATGTCTGATATCACAGATATACGGTAAGATTATTGTTAAAATTTCAGCTTGTCCGACAACACCAGTAAGAAGTTTTCCATACCTGCAGAAGGACTCTTCCCTACATTTACCTTTGGGAGAAACCCAGATAGTTCAAGAAGCTGAAGTGGTAAGACATGAACTCTGGCTTTCTTTAGAATTTCAATACATTTATTAAATCTGTCTGTCATTCAAAAGTAATGCAGTCAGTAGATTGCTTTAAAATGTTCAATTTCACAAGATATCTGGAGCGGTATATTAATGCTTTGATAAATGTTCACTAGTTAAACAGTTGCATTAGATACCTGGAGAGATTTAATATTCCTGTGATAAATGTTCACTAGTTAAACAGTTGCATTAGATACCTGGAGAGATTTAATATTCCTGTGATAAATGTTCACTAGTTAAACAGTTGCATTAGATACCTGGAGAGATCTAATATTCCTGTGATAAATGTTCACTAGTTAAACAGTTGCATTAGATACCTGGAGAGATTTAATATTCCTGTGATAAATGTTCACTAGTTAAACAGTTGCATTAGATACCTG